GATAGGATAATCCTAATATTTAAATATTTTAAAAAATTCATATAAAATCTCATATCACTTTGGCAAAAATATATCTTCAACCTGATAACTTTTAACAAGGTTTGATTTTGATATTTTAATTTCATAAAGGGTTTTTTTAAGTCTTTTAACTCTAAGACTGTTAACAAAAAATATTGATATTTAAATTTTAAATATTGATAAAATATTGTTAAATATAATATTGGTAAAAGTGACTTGTATTACAAATTAAAATTGGATAAGAATCAATTATTATAATGTAATTTATGCCTGTATTGATTTCTGTTAAAAAGAAATCAGCATCACTAAATGAAATTTATTTGGATGACATATTTGAAAACCACGTTAGATGTAAAAATGATTGAAAATAACATGTGTTTTATAAAATATTTATAAATATATTATATGTATAAAGCCAACCCTAAGCCTGCCCTACTCTCTCATGATTCATGAACCACTTTATTATTTTTATTTTATCTTTTGAATTTAAAAAAAAAACAGATGTCTACATTATATACAACGTGACATGAACGTATGATATTGATATCCCCATATATGGGTTTTTCTACCAAGATGCTACAACGAGTAAAAGAAAATACCAAAATCCTACATTATCAAAAATATTCATCAAAATACTATACGTAAAATTGTTTAGATTAAAAACGAGTTTGATAATACGAAAAACTTGTTCACGTTAAGAACGAGTTTGCATTCTTCTCCCATCACACCACCTTAACACGTGACATATTTATTTTTTATTGAAAGAAAGGTGAACTCATGCCATGAACGAGTTCCGGCTTCCATCTCCCTTTCCCATAGCACTTCCCGCACTCATTTGAAAACATCTCCCCCTTTTTTATCTTCACATGCGAAAATTACAAGTTTGGGTTCGAAAAAGTATTTTGTTCTTCTTCATTATTTTGTTTTAGTAAAAATATATTTGTATAAAAAAAGTAAACTTTAGTATACTCAGAACTTTTACAAGGTTGAGAAATATTTTTTTAAATCTTTTTATAAGTCACGTCATTAAATTTTTAATATGACTGTATTATTTTACCTTTTTATTTATTATTGTGAAAATTGTGACTTTCTTCAAAATCATTTATATTAAATATGAATAAAGTTCAATCCAAAAAAAAAATGAGTAAAATTGAAAAGTTATCAAATTGTAAGAACAGTTAATGAGATTTAATATTTTTGTTAGGTTCGATGAACAATAATAAATAAAAGGTAAAACAGTATATTCATATTATAAATTTAATGATGGGAAAAAATCTCTTAGCTTTATGGATATGATCAAGAAATAATTTAAAATGATGATTTAGTGTTTGGATTAGTCTTTTAAAAATAATTTTACGAAGTTCGAAATAGATACTCCTCCAGTCCTTAATATAGGACCCAATTTTTGAGTTGGTTTTGGTCCTAAATATAAGACTCATTTCTCATATTTATCAATTTTCTCTAAATTACCCCTATAGATACTCCCTCAACCATAATCAAGTAGAAGAGGGAGAAGAGGTATTAAGAAAGATGATTATGGTGTTTTAGGAAAAATGTGTCACTTTTCTTATAATTAACTAACTTACCTAACTTCCTTAATCTAATCAAATTAGTTAAATGGGTCTTATATTAAGGACCAGAGGAGTATATGAAATAAATTTTATTTCGATTTATGAAAAAATATTTTTGCTAAATGTTTTTGGAGGTTTTCAAAAACCCCAATAAGTAATAAGTGGTAACAAAATGTTTAGTGAGTCTTTTTTAACCACAATATTATTCACCAATGATAGCTTGTGCCCGAAAAAGTCCTTTGTTTTTCCTCATTATTTTTGATGAAATTGCAGATAGATTAAAGTTTTAATAAAAAGATATCTGTTAAAAAAAAAAAAAGCTAAACCTTGATTCTCTTTGTCAAGGCAGGGTATAATTTTTGCATGTGAAGGTAAAATGGAGAGAGATGTTTTCAAATGAGTGGAGAAAGTGTTATGGAAAAGAGAGATAGACGGCTAAACTCGTTCATGGTATGAACGCGTTCTCTTCTCTCTTAATAAAAAATAAATGTGTCATATGTGTTAGGGTGATATGAAGGGAGAAGAACGCAAACTTGTTCTTTGCGTGAACGAGTTCTTCATATTTTCAAATTCATTCTTGGTACAAATGATTTTAGGTGTAATATTTTGATAAATATTTTTAAGGGAAAATGACAATAAAATACCACTTGAATTTCAAAAAGACAAATAAGGCACATGAATAAGCAAAATGACAAATAGAGCACTGGGTACCAATCTGGAATTCATATTTTCGGCCAAAAGACCAAAATGCCCTGATGAAATGCGGGAAGACAGACGCTGAAAGTGAGAGAAAGGAGAGAGGAAGACCGACGCTGATGAAATGCGGGAAGAAGGAAAGAAGAATGTTGGAAATGCTATTATCTTACTCCTTCGCATCACCATTTTGTAGAGATTGTTGATTTTGGTTGTGGGAAAGAGGATTTGTAGTGAGAGAGGGAGTGAACCGAAGCGGAAATCAGAAAACAATGGCAAGCAATTACGTAACATAACTGCCGTCATATGCCTGCTGGTTTTTGGTAAATCCCACTACGTGAATGGTAAATTTCACTATACATGTAGTTAATTATGAAAGTTAATAGTTCAATGTTTATTGTGACGTACTTCAAATGCACGTTCACTGAATGATTTATTTATGCTTATAAGTTGCCTTTCGGTGAAAACAGGTTTACAAAACCCATTGAAGAAGTAGTCACTTTCACTATAAAAGTTGTAAATCCCAGTATATGTTTTGTAAAATTCAACGTGAAATTTTATTGGTTTTTACAAACAAGTTGCCCATCCCTTGAAAACTGGTTGCAAAAGCCATTTAAGAAGTGGTCATTTTCACTATAAAAGTTGTAAATATCACTGTGTGTTTTGTAAAATTCAGCGTGAAATTTTATTGATTTTTAGAAACAAGTTGCTCATCCCCTGAAAAGAGGTTACAAAACTCATTTAAGAAGTGGTAATTTTCACTACAAAAGTTGTAAATATCACTCTATGTTTTGTAAAATTCAGTATGGAATTTTATTGGTTTTTAGAAACAAGTTACCCATCCCCTGAAAACTGGTTGCAAAAGCCATTTAAGAAGTGGTCATTTTCACTATAAAAGTTGTAAATATCACTGTGTGTTTTGTAAAATTCAGTCTGGAATTTTATTGGTTTTTAGAAACAAGTTGCCCATCCCCTGAAAACTGGTTGCAAAAGCCATTTAAGAAGTAGTCATTTTCACTATAGTGGTTGTAAATTTCACTATACATGTAGTTAATTATGAATTTTACAAAATACATATTGTGATTTACAACTTTTGTAGTGAAAGTGACTACTTTGTTAATGGGTTTTGCAACATGTTTTCAGGAGATAAACAACTTGTTTGTAAAAACCAATAAAATTTCACGTTGAATTTTACAAAACATATACTGGGATTTACAACTTTTATAGTGAAAGTGACTACTTCTTCAATGGGTTTTGTAAACCTGTTTTCACCGGAAAGGCAACTTATGAGCATAAATAAATCATTCAGTGAACGTGCATTTGAAGTACGTCACAATAAACACTGAACTATTAACTTTCATAATTAACTACATGTATAGTGAAATTTACCATTCACGTAGTGGGATTTACCAAAAACCAGCAGGCATATGACAGCAGTTACGTTACGTAATTGCTTGCCATTGTTTTCTGATTTTCACTTCATCTTTCCTACAGGTTCATCTTTCCCACAGCTTCACATTCTCTGAAAATGGTTTTATGCGAAGAACAGAGATAGAACCAAAATTTTTTAGAGAAATGCTAGGCAATAACATTTTAAGCTGTGGGAACCCATCGAAAATCAGCGTCTTCCTCTCTCCTTCCTCTCTTCTTCCCGATTTCATCAGCGTCTTCCTCCTCTCTCCTTCCCGTATTTCATCAGTGTCTTCCTCTCTCCTTCCTCTCTCCTTCCTCTCACTTTCAGACAGGGCATTTTGGTCTTTTGGCCAAAAATCTAAATTCCAGATTGGTACCCAGTCCCCTATATGTCATTTTGCTTATTTAGGTGCCTTATTTGTCTTTTTGAAATTCAGGTGGTATTTTATTATCATTTTCCCTATTATAATTAAATAATTTAATAATTTTTTTAAATTAGTTAGCTAGATGTCATATTTAGAATGACACATAGTAGTTTGATAGGAGTGATTTTATGACATGACAGTTTTTCACTTACGAGGAAGATTCACATGATGGATTCCTAATAATCAAAATGCTCTGTTTTTTGTTTTTGAACGGAAGAAAGAGGGATTATTGTTTTTCAATTTCCTTCTAGTAATAACTTAATTTTTTTTATTTTTAATAAATTTTTTTTCAATACTTCTTTTAAAATGGTCACATTATATATATAATTTCTTTATAACAATAAATTAAATTTTCTTATTTTTAATAATTTTATTTTCATTACTTTATTTATGACAAATAGTCACATTATATATATAATTTCTTTATAATACTAAATTAAATTTCTTTACTTTTAATAATTTTTATTTTCCTTACTTCTTCGCTTTTAATAATTAAATATCTAATATTAGATATGTGCTATTTAATAGAATTCATGTCCTTTTACGTCATTTTACATTCAAACTTACTTTTACATTTATCATCCAAACAAGTTTCAGCTTCTCAAACTGACTTTTTTCTGAAACCTAATCCAAACATAAATCACATTACCCAATCTGACTTTTACTCAATCTGACTTCTGGAAAAGTCAGATTGAAAAAAAGTTACTTCTCCACCGCCAATCCAAACACACCCTATATAATACTACCTCCAGTTATCATTATAAAAGTTTATTGGAGGGTTAAATTTTATCATAAATATAATATTTCAATTTAATGTTTTCTAAATTTATAATATTTTCTTTTGAGAACCAGTAGAAGCATGAGCTCCAGAAAGCACCAATCATAAAATAGTTTTTAAAAAAATGGTTTTAAAATAAAGCATACGGAAGGTCTTCTCTCGGTCTTTCCCGACAGTTTGGCGGACCCACATGCTACATCTGTCCCTTTTAGACCCACAAAGCCATTGTTTCCATCTCTCTCTCAACGAGGCAACTTGAAACGAAGGGATAACAATGAAAAACAACGGAGTCTTCACCCATTGTCTGAGGCAAAAATACTTCTATATACAAAAATGATCTTTAACCCTACAAAAATAATAATCGAAGGAAGTTTGTATGATAACTCATATATATTGCTATAAATTTGCTTTAGCAGATGCTACTAATATTGTTAATTAGAGTTGGTGTAAGGCCTAATAAAAAAGTCTCCAAATTATAATGGATAAGATTATCATATGACGGACATGTAACTTCGTATGATCGCATGAGTAGTCTTGCTTGTTTTGATTATCATCAAATTTATTTTTGTAATTTTGTTGTTTCTTGAGAAAATTATCTTCTCATTCGATTTTTTAATTTAATATTTAATGTTTTTCTCTCTTAATTAAATATTTAATTTTATTCGGTTAGCATTGTTAATAGTAGCTGACAGTACAAATACAGCAAATTTCAGGAGTTGATAATTCTAATGAAATAAAATTAAATAATTTAGTGTTGGCAAAAAAAATAAATAATTTAATTAAAATACATAGATATTAAATTAAAAATTTAAGAAAAATAAAAATATTTGTAAAAAGGTTTTTCCATTGTTTTTTGAAGTAAAAAACATCACAAATGCTTCTTAAAATTCTACTTGAAAGTTGAAAATATCACAACTCATTTTTCTTGTAATCACCCGGCGCTTCCACCATGAAGAACCCCTGAAGTGGAACCCAGTTGCTTCAGGAGCGCGTCCGATTCCGCCGGGTCCCTTTTGCTATTTAAATTGGTCCATCCTCAAGACTCAATTATTTAATTTAGAAAGATTTTAAAAAAATTTAAAATATTATTTTTATTATTTTTAAATTAATTTTTCTAGCTGATAGTATACATAACTATTTTAAAAAATAATGTAATACATGTTATAATTAAATAATTTTTTAATTTTTAATTTTTTTAAATTAGTTAATTATAGTCAATAGTTTAAAAAAGGGGGAAATTTTTGATTAAGGATCACATATGGGAATTAATTTCAAACAGCCCCCCAAAAAAATGAAATTTTAGTTAAGGATTTTGAAATTTCACTGAAAGACCCAGGGGCAAACTGAAATTAATTGCTGAAACCATTTTACTGAAATGCCCTACGAACTGTATCTGCTAAAAAGGAAGAAGAAAGAGGGAAAAAGAAGAACTTTGTGCCTAAGACAAACCGTTTTCCCCAAAATTTTCATTCTGTTGAGTATAGCTGGGTTGTGATAGTTGAGTAATATAGAAATGAGTGTTTAAATGCATCGGTACATAAGTAGTGAGAGAAAAAACCCGATATAGCTTTTAACTTTAGAAAGAGATTGTTATCTTCCTCTTCTTTAGAGAGAGATTGTTATCTTCTTCTTCTTCTTCTTTGAAGTTAATAAACATAAGATGTTAGTGATTTTTGAAAAGTGGGTGAAATGGGTGAACACTGACTGTAATACGTTATTGAAAGAATCTAGGAAAGGAGAATTGAAAGGAAAATGGATGAATGTACTGAAATGGGTGATATGAAAATGAAATATGCAGAAAAATGGCAACTTGCAGTTGTAAAAATATGCATTCAGATTGTAAATTTGCAAATTGGAGTTGTGCAGGAAAATGGTAATTTAATCTTATGAAAACCAGTATTTCTGTTGTAAACCTGCAAATTCCTGTTGTTAACGCATACTGTCTATTATTATTGAAAGTTGATTGAAATTGATAGTTGAATGATGTGCAGCAACGGATTATAAGTGGCTACTGGTGGCAAAAAACAACTATTTTGCATCTTCCATATGGAGGGAAATTTGTGAAGACCTTAGAAGAAAAATTGGTATATGAAAGGAGTATTATAAGTAGAAGATTGATCAATAAAAGGATGATATATGAAAAACTACAAAGCATGGTAGCGAATGCTGTTTGTCCAGGTCCAGGTAGTGGTCAGTATAAAATGAACGATACAATTAGTTTGAACAGGAAAACATTTTTGGACCGTATCAATGATATTGAAGTAGGACAATTAATTGAGTACAACAATAATAGTTGGCATGTTTATGTTTGCAACAATGAAAAAGACTTGAGACAAACATCACAGTTGAACAGTACACGAGAGTAAGTGGCCATATTTGGTAGTGGGTTGTAATCCTTTTCGTGTGATGAATTGATAGTTGAAATATTTCATGACTGTATGTGACAACAAGCTATCCTAAGTTCTGTGCTAAAATTGACTGGTAAAACTATAAATGTATGAAAAATTTTGTCAATTTGTAAATAGATGTATTTCTGTTGTTAATTAATGTATTGTTTTTGCAAATTCTCTAATTCCTGTTGTAGTGCACATATAATTTTAACACATTCCCTAACTCCTGTTGCCAATTACGTAATCATAAGTTCACTTACGAATACACGAGTTCCAGTTCTAAATTTCCCAACGCCTTTTGCAAATTGTCTAAACCCAATCGTGAATACACTTGATAGACTCTAGCATGATGGTTAAGTTATACTCCTCCGGTCCTAAACATAAGACTCTTATACTAGAGACCTTTATACACACTAGTATAAGGGTCTTATATTTAGGACCAGAGGAGTATTTAAAAAAAGCACTTGCAAAAACAAAGACCCCTATTGTAAACTTAGCTATTATTGTTGCAAATTTTCTAATTCCAGTAGTCAACATTTGCACTCAAAGTATGAAATTTGTAGGGAAAAATATATTATCATTACTAGACATGTAATAAACACATATATATAATTCATTGCACTGAAAATGAAATTATGGGTAATCATTATACATAAAAATTGACACATCCTTTGCTAATATAAAAGACATCTTGAGGTTACAAATCCTTCTTCAATTTTCTCTTGGTTGTGTCTGTATCTTTGTAAGTAGTTGTACAACAGCTACCAACCATGTATTTCTTGCATAAGTAATGAGCTGTCACAGCACGTCTAGCCTCAGGAAACTGAGTTCTTCTTATTACACAATGTTAAGAACCATCAAACATGGGACACAATGGAGTACGAGATTGAAATCTAAAAATAATGTATTCATAGATAAGCACTTAATCAACTCATACTTTTACAAAGTAGTTATTTCCCGCCCCTAGTAACCATTTATAATCCGTTACTACACATCATTCAACTATCAATTTCAATCAACTTTTAATAATAATAGATAGTATGCGTTAATAATAGGAATTTGCAGGTTTACATCAGAAATACTGGTTTTCATAACGTTAAATTGTCATTTTCTTACACAACTCCAATTTGCAAATTTACAATCCAAATACATATTTTTACAATTGCAAGTTATCATTTTTCTGCACATTTCGTTTTCATATCATCCATTTCAGCACATTCACCCATTTTCCTTTCAGTTCTCCCTTCCTAAGTTTCTTCAACAACGTATTACAGTTAGTATTCACCCATTCTCACCCACTTTTCAAAAATCACTGGTAGCTCATGTTTATTAAGTTCAAAGAAGAAGAAGATAATAATCTCTTTCTAAACTTAAAAGCTATATCAGATTTTTTCTCTCTCACTACTTACTTACCCATACATTTTAACACTCATTTCTGTATTATTCAACTACCACAACCCAACTATGCTCAACAGAATGAAAATTTTAGAAAAAATAGTTTACTTCACGCGCCAAGCTCTTCTTTTTCCCTCCTCCTTCTTCCTTTTCAGTAAATACAGTTCATAGAGTATTTCAGTAAAATGGTTTCAGTAATTAATTTCAGTTTGCTTTTGGGTCTTTTGGTAAAATTTCAAAATCTTTAATTGAAATTTCAGATTTTTTTGAAGATTGTTTAAAATTAATTTCTATCCGTGGTCTTTAATTGAAATATTCTCAGAAAAAAGCTTCAACACTCTTTGGAAGATGGGACACGCAAATGATTCTCCTAAATCGTACAACGTGTTTTCCCCTAATAATAATAATATAAACCGCACAGTGTCTGAACCATTCTGTATTGACTTGACTCCACTCAGTAGCCACTCCTCCCAATTAAAGCTTTAGATCTGCTTCTTCTTCTTCAGAGTTTCATAAATCTCCTACTTTCAGCCTTCTGCTAATTTCTGCTGCTTTCTCAACTTCTTCTTTTACTCCATCATCTTCGCAGTTTCCTTTGTGTTATATGTTTCTCGACCAAAAAAATAAAAAAGAAAAAAGAAGATAAACAATCTCAACCAGAGACTTTGTAGCTACTCCTTATAACTAAGGCTTCAGATCTCCTCCTCCTCCTCCTCCTCCATAGTTTCATAAGCCTCTTACTACTTTCTCCCTTCTGCTAATTTCTATTGCTTTCTCAGCTTCTTCTTTTACTTCATCGTCTCTGTAGTTTCCACTTTCTGATTTCCTTTTTCCTTACTTTCTGAATTTAGAGCTTTTGCAACTTTTGTTGGCTCTTAAATCTTCTTTCATAGTTTCACTGTTCACATCACTCCTTGCTAATTCTTTCTTTCCTTAACGTCTTTTGGGCACTTTGGGTTTTGCTTGTGTTTCCTGATTTCTGTTGTCTCTCTATCTCACCTATGTTAAAAGATAAGTTCTCAAGGAAATCCTAAATTTGCTCCTTTTGCATTTTTTTTTCTGGCTCTTCTTTGTTGTGATCATTTTCAACTTTATTTTTCTGGTTTTGTGATATTTCCTCCAAAAAAAAAAATCCTAATTTTTTTTTAAAAAACTGCTTTTTCATCGTATTTGTAACATTTTGTTATTTAGTTGATGTTGTTTTTCCTGTTTAACTTCACAAGTTCGTCATCTTCCTTGGTAAACTTTCTCATTTTATAGTTGTCTTCTATTTTTGTGAAGTGTTTGTTTCTCAAAATTGTTCAAAACATCATAAAAAGAGAGGTCT